GATCTTGTCTGTTATATATACGAACGTATAATTAAAAGAGGTATAAAGCCTAAACTGGACAACTCTGGTGTAGAAAATTGTGTATCTCTTATATTCGGAACAAATTTTTGTTATCAATGATTAAAATTCACAAGATTTGTAAAGAAATCAATTTATAGAAATAGATCTGTAAAATTACCATGAGAGTCTTTCTACATTAATTTACTAACAATGTTAATGTATTAGTATAATATATTGTTAATTATAAAGATATAATTAAAGAGATAATTATAAGATAACATAAGATAATTATAGAAGATAATTATAAGATATAACTAAAAAAAACTAAAATTCTTGATATAATTAAAAAGAATTAAAAAGAAGAAAAGACGTGATTCCTTGTTGGAAGATAATTCGAAAATATAGAAAATAATTTGCAAATACATATTCGAATACATGAAATGCATGTTCTAGCTCTTGTTGGCGTTACGAAATCTATTGCATTCCTGTATATGTAGATACCTAAGCTAAGAGAAATTAATCTACAGACTTCCGATCAATGGTTTAGTTCTCGCTTAAACGTAAACCGATCTGAAACATGTGGAGGGATCTCAAGAGCTCAGAATTCGAGGAGATTTTAGCTATTAATAATGATTGTTAACATTTCTGAATCTCAGTAGACACGTTCTTGACACGAATTATCGATTACCCAACGAAACTTCGGCGCACCCTTTAAATTCACCCGAGCCAAGTTATCCGAGCTTGATTGTCAATAGATGAGACGTGACGTAGTAAATCAAATAGTCACAGAAAAAATGCGAAATAAGATAGTGATTATGCTTGTTACCCCGTTTAAGGTCCGCTTTATCCAACAATAAAGATTCACAGTAGCGGTGGTCAAAATAATGAACGGCGGAGGGAATGCAAATTGATTTACTGCACTGCGTTCGCCGTTTCTGCTGCGCGGAATGAAATGAAAATATTTCTCGCGCTGTCGCACAGTTTTCCAATCATTACCTCCGTCGTAAGTTCCTCCAAGTATTTCTGAGCATCTCCGATCTCATTGCGTACTTTACGGATCTCCTTCTCATACATTTTCTTCTCCCGATCGTACCTCTGTCGCCATTGCTCGATCCGAGTCTCGATGAGCTGTAAATTCAAAGTAAATATTTTTGTTATCTTTCCAAGGGCGTGACTCATCTTAAATTTAACGAAATTTATTTCATGCTTAACCTCTAGCAAAAACGCCAAATTTGTGTTACATATCCGCTGAAGAAAAGTCATAAAAAGCCACGATCTCAAAGTACATTTTTCAGCAACCTTTTAAGCTTTTTCGCTGAAGAATTTACAAGATCGCTTAAGTGTCCATCTTAATTTTAATGACAGACCCTTTTAAGTCTCTCTTGACTGTTTTAAGTAAAAGGTAAAATATGTCTATAAGACATTTTTGCTCGTTTTAAACGAAAAGAAGTTGAGAAAGAATTTACTCTCACCGCTATACGTCGCGTTAGATAACGCGTTAATACATCATTCACGTGATTTTCATTTCTCTCGCTCACGCAATGATCATTCAATGTCTTTTTCAATTCGTCTATCTTTAACTCGTAACGCAGTACGTACTGCTCCCGACGTGTCGCTTCCCACACTCGGACATATTTCATCTCCACGTCCTTGATTAGTTTCAGTTTCTCCTTCTCGTCCTAAACATTTTGCCAACAAGTTTTGTTTTAACGTGACTCTACTTATATACATACAATGGGTAAACGGTAAAATTTCATGATTTATCTCTGTTGCGTCGTACATATATTTGTAAACGTTCCGACTTGTAAAACATTTACCCGTGTCAAAGTGAGCTTCTTTGTTAAACGTTCCTCCTCCTTTTCATTCGCTGTTTTCTTATCGGCAATTGCTTTTCGTAACTCTGCCACAATTATTTGCATGCTTTCGTTCTCTTCTATTAAAATATGCTCCTGTTCTTCTTGTGACGTAATCCTCTCGATTTCTTTGATTAATACGTCGATGGTTCCATGTTCGCTAACTTCCCGCTTCAAGTCTTCTATTATACCGCTCACATATAAACTGCAACGTAAACGATGTTTCTTTGGACGTCCAATAAAGTATGTATACATACATCTTAGCATGTTTAAAAAATCATATTTGAAAAGTATGGAACAATTAAGGTCAAATATGACTAATAAAAGAAGAATTTTTGCTTAAATTTTAATTAAAAGCATATAATTTTTTTATGCTTTTTGTATTAAAATATAAAAAATTATTTGTATAGTAAGATAATCAAATTACTATAAAAGACAGCAGCGTTTACTTTCGTGTTGTAATAATTTTTCAAACGCCATTCTGTTAATATAACTTTATGATGTATGTATAATGTATATTTTTGATGATATTTTTGTATTATATGTAAGGTAAAACTCACAAATCTTCATTTTAATGGCAAAAAAATAGCAATGCTACTATCAATACAATGGATATGTAAAAAAGTACATCTAGATTATCGAGCCGAAATTTGAGCCAAACCTCGCATTTCGGTAACATTTGTTGCGCGGCTCGATAAAAAACAATGGAAATTAATTGAAATGCTCGTGGCTCGAGGTTCGGTTCGAGTTTCGGCCCGATAATCTGGACGCACCCCGTAATATACATGTATGTATAAAGGAAAGGCCCCTATTATGTGATACCAAGTTCATTTGGGGTAAATGCTAGAAATCTATGGACATTTAAAAAAATTAAGCAATTTAAAAAAATAATAGATTTGAAGGGAATTTAATAAGCTTTAAGATAATGCTATGTAAAATTTAATTCAAATTCTATTTTTTTTTAATTAAAGAAATGTAAAAAGTGAGCAAATCGCAAAATAAAAAAATTGTGCTCTTAATATGAGGTACCCCGAAAAATCGATAATAAAACGAAAAGTATATCAGTATTGCAATTAAAAAACTTTATGTTTCTGTAAATACAAACAAACACAGCCAATGTGCGTGCAAAATGAGCATGCGATGCATTATATCTAGGACTCGTCTTCAGGTAGTTGAAACCAAACATCGCAGAAACAAACTCGATGTTCATTCCGGTTGTCTTGTTTATTATTGTACAATAACATTTATACTATAGTAACGATTTTCACTATGACATAGGAGCATAGGTTATTTCATATTAGAAATACCCTGGGTATCTCATATTACGATTTCCACGTCTTACGGTTTTATGATCATCAAATTTAACACTTCTGTAATTAAGCAATTCAATATATTCCGATTTTTCTATTAGTACGATCTTACTCTATCACTACATGAAGAATTTGTTGCTAAATGTTTATTTATTAAATAATAAACAAGGTTTAAAGGCTCATCTCAATGAAACTTGAAGACGTCAAATTCTAAAATCTTTTTTTACAACGACTATAGACATGATCCAATAATGAATTTTCCACTAAATAGTTTTCACATTTTGACTGTATAGCGTACAAAATATAAAAATTGTCCATGATGTAAATACGATAAAAGTGTATTAAGCTGTATCTCTTCAAAGGATGATGATAATAATTATGCGGAACGATTTATAAAGCAAGCAGTATTCAGACCAGAACTCCAAAATGTAAAAATACACAAATATTAGTCTTTAAATTTTAATATGAAACCAAAGTACGTGTTGTGTCGATTTCATGCTTCTCAAGTAACGTTTCTTTTTAAATTGCTTTTCCCTCTCTTCTTGTACTATTACCGAAATTTAATAGATATCTTAATTTAGTACTTTCCTTCCTTTGAACACACACACATACATACGCACACACTCACTCACTCACTCATTCACTCATAATTTCACGACACCTTTTTCTTTGTATTTATCATCTAGATCCGCATTGATGTTCGCGAACACACACACACACACACACACACACACACACACACACACACACACACCGCAGCGTTCACACACTACTCACTCCATTATCTATTAAATAAACGCTAAATTTAGTAAGTAAATGTTAAATTTAACGACATAAGATGAGTAAATCGTAATTCGGTATACTATTTAGTATGTTAATATGAGTCACAAAAAATAATTAAATTGTTATTCAATATTCTATTTGAATCTCTGATGAATAAAATTAATAAATGTGTTATGCGTTATGCAAAAGTCTGTGTCGCGGCCCTAAGTTTCGAAACTCATAAAAAAAAATGTTGTAACCTTTCTGCTGGCAAGTATATATAAATTATATGCTAAAAATTTTTAAGCTTTACTGCGTAGTTCTTACTAATATACATTTTATTTTATAAGTCAAATCTAATCTTGCGATCATGAAATCGTCTCGATAAATTTCTGTTAGACTTTGAAAATATTTTATTGTTTGCATGCATTATATTGATTCATCATTTTTTAGATTTTTATATTTTTTATTTTATTTGCATATTTAGCAACTTCAAACTTTTAAAAATAATTAAATTGTATATATATCTTTTCTAAAAAAAAATCGAATGTAAAAGATACATGAGAGGATACATGAGTGGAATTATTTATAAATAAATTTACTTATTACATCTGCATGATATATTAATTAACAGTAACGGATCGAAATAGTTTGAAAATTTTTTTGGTCACAACATTGAAAAATATTATTATATTTATATTTCATTGATATATTATTAGGACGACTAATAAAAATGGAATTATTAAAATCTTTTATTAATTAAAATAAATGAATGTTTTACATATAAAATCTCCATATTTAAATAACGAAAACGTACAAAATTACGTTTAATTAGAGGACAGTATAAATATTATTATTAAAAATGAAGCACATAAATAATAAAAAATATAGTAATTGTTATTATCATAATATTTTTAATGTTCATACGATTTAAATTCGATACTGCATGTGACAAATAAAAGAAGCAATTATTTGCTTTTTATATTTCTTCAGAAAGCAAATGTTAATTTATTATTTATGTAATTAATTTCGTTTTAAAGTTCTATTGTTATCGTAGTCTATTGGCTGATCCGCCATTACCACATGTCGGTCTTTCAAACAGGCTTATATATATATAGACAAATTAAACAAGCCAACCTGTCTCGTAGAAGCTTTTCATGCGCAGTCTCCCTCCGTGAATCCGTTATTTCCGCGGCGCCTCTGGCAAGCATTTGCAGAATAGACGTTTCCGAAATTCTGTGGATAGATGTACAAAGTAGACATATCGTAATACAGTCGCGTTTATTGTACTATATCCGCAAGACATACTTAAAATTTGGGAAAATATTAGTGGCATCATCATCCTTCGTCATCGATTGTTGTCGTAAGATGTTTTGGTAAACGGCCAATGAGTCCGCACATTCCTCCAGGACTTCTAAAACAGCTTCACACACCGCCGGTGAAAATCCGGCAGCACTTTTCGATCCAATCGACGTTTCCATCTGTTTTTTTCTACAATAATCGAATCGATCTTTCATTCATTGTTTATTAGCTGTTTTTGTTAACAAATGTATACACATAATTTAAATTTACTTTTTAAATTTTTTAGAGTCCTGAAAAAGAATAGCTCAATTATCAATCTTTAAGAATGAGATTTCATTCTTTAGAATGACACTTTACTTTAAAAGTTTTAGAGAGCATAGTTCATAGAACTATGAAGCGCGAAAAGAATTTCGAAATTTTAATAGGAACTGCGCGAGAATGACAGAATCACGTACGTTGTAAAGAATATTTCACATGACGGAGTTCATGGATTTTTATGCAAGTTCTTGTACATACATTTTATGTTCAACGTCGACAAATTCAATGTGTGTTAAATATATTCACTTGATAAATATGTCGTGTCAGTCTACATCTGTCTGATAAGCCAATTTATCACATGTTCCTGTGAAGACGCTTGACTTCAAGATCATTCTCGGTTACTTTCTTAAATTCTGAATAACATCAACAGCACAGTTAGAATACTAACTATCTTTTCAGAGGAACAGGTGCAAAATAGATGCACTCGAAATGATTAACAAGGAACAATTTTTATGTATTTAATTTTCTAAATTGACTTTTTACGAAAAATATATTATCGAAAATCAATAATGGAAGAGCAAAAGACAATAAAACAAATTTAGCGAATGATCATTAACTTCAATGAATAACTATTTTAGTGCAATTTATGTACAACATTTTTTTATTAATATACAAGACGCGTCACTTAATTTGTTATAAATTAATATTTTAGCATCAATCGGGATATTAAAAAAATTATTGATGGTAAACTAATGAGAAAGAAAAAGTGTATAATTTTTATAACGTATATTTGAAAGCGTCGTTATTTTTTAATTTTTGAAGATTATTTTCTAAGAGATTTTTTATTAATAATGTTATTTTACATAACAGACGTTAGATAAATCTTTTTCAAGTAATCTTAAAATATTCTTGATTTTAAACATTTATTTTTAAGAATCCAAACAATTTACACCATGTATCATTATTAAGAATTTTTCCGAATAATTCTTAAGATATTAATTTGTGATTCATCCTGTATACCTTACTATTTATTAATAATAATTCTATATATTTTAATTGGACAAAATATCAAATAAAATTGTTAATATTATGTTTATAATATTTTAAAATATTATACTTACACATTGCTTCTCAAACATATATGTGCTAATAAGAAGAACACATTCAACAATCATTCAGTAGGCACATAATGAATATTGAAAGTATCTACATAAAATACACGTACATTGCTGTATACGCAAACAGTTAAACTTTACAAATAAGCAGACATTTTTTCACGAGTTTATTAGCACATTATCGGACGTGCAGCCATCACATCGATCCCGACACACTGTATTCTGTAAAGAAAGAAAAAGAAGAAAAACTCTGTAGCGCGCTCGGCAAACCTTTCGAACGAGTTAAACCAGGAGTTTGATCCATCGCCGCGGGCTGCCATGGAAACGAACTCGGAGGACCATGAACATTAAAACGGCAGTAGGCGTAAGAATAAAAAAATAAAAAAGGAAAAGCAAGATTACGCGCAAAAAATCCTTTCAAACGAAAAAGAGGAAGCATTTGCCGAAGGAAAATTTTTTTCTCTGATAATGTAAAAAAAAATGCAAATGTACGATCTCCAACTCTACGACATTTTTAAAATTAAATTCATCGAATCGCGCGTGCGTGATTTAGTTATAATTCCCGGAAAATGGAAATCGTGAAAAATCCGAGAAGAGTTGCGACTTAATGCGCTCATACGAGTGTGGCGTTCTGCAAACACGTACTCTGAAACGCGATTCTTCTTTTCACACAATTCTGGGAAAGTTCTCGCGGAGAAAGAAATTTTTTGTGTGGAAAAGTTGTAGTCTTTAAAGGCATGGACACACATTTAGCGCGGACGCTGGACGAAGCCAAGTACATCTTGGCTTACATGAGGCCGAGGAAATGCATCGTGCAGTTTTGTCGCAACGCCATAGAATGCCTGTTTGGAATTATCGATTTTAGGTATCGTGAAATCTCCCGCTCGCCTTTTATCTCTCAGCACAGCAAAAGATTTTTCACATCGTTCTTCTGCTATTAGGTTTGTATTTCCAGTAACTATAATTAAGAAATAATATAATAAATAATACGTATATATACCTTGCAAACTAAAATAGAAAAATAATAAGATTGAAAAACTGTTAATGTTAAACATAATGCTTTAAATTAAGAAGCGCCATAACGGTCAGAATGTTAAGATGTTGAACTATTATAAATTCATTTAAATGAATTAATTTCAGAAATTATAATTGCGTGCCGATATGGTTGTCGGACTTTCAACGCAATCAAATCTGAAAATATTAATAATCCCCCCAAAATTCCCAACTTAAAATAGAAAAGCTTATAAATATTATCGAACATATATACATTGTAATATGTTTTTTAAAGAGAAGTTTAATAGATAAATGCTATTAAATACAGTACGATAAGTTAGAACTTACTTTTGCGAAACAAAATTCACATTGGGAAAAGGAAACTGCGAAAATTCAATAAACATCGTTCTACTTGATCTATTCCGAACGAAGAAACCTCGTGCTATTGGTTCTTCATCAATTATTCCGCGAGGCGAAGCGGACGAAAATCGAAAACTGTTAAATTGATACCGACATAATTACTATCCAATCGCGTTAGGGTCATAGGCCCGAAAAAAAAATCCTGCGGCGAAAAAGGGCGCACTAGCACGTATCAGTTTGATTGGAAAAGTTTTCACATTGAGAAGAGACTTTTAATTGAATCTGCATTGTCTAGCAAGAGAGAGTTCTTCGCGAAGCTCCTCAAGCTCGTGTCTCCGTTTAGCGTGAAGAATATCGGACCGTGAATTCGTGAAAACAAGGTAACGATCATCTGTTACAAAGAAATCCGACAATTTTCGCGTATGTGTGGGTGTCTCATTGTGCTGCTTTTCGAGACTTACTCGATTAATCGCACGATTTGACAGGTGGCAAGTCATCTCTCGATTAAACTTGAAGTAAGAAGTTCGAAACGCAAAAATTAGATGGAGAATATTAAGAATGTCGAACGTGTGAAATATTACAATGATTTTATGCAGAAGTGGATTAACCTATTAAATAATTGTTTCGGATGTATTTAACAATTTTGAGAATCTGATAGTGTCTATCATATGTATTATATATAGAATACAATCTTTTTTATTTTATATTAACTTTATTTTACATAAAATACTTTCATTAATGATACAAAAAGTCATAATAATTGGATCTTTTAACATTCTAGTAATATATAATATATATATATATATATATATAAAATCGATGTAATATTTTCAGAATTTTTTAAAATTGAACGTATTTAATATGATATTTTGCATGATATAATTGGTTAAAGAACTTTTGATGTTTGTTTCAACGTGTGTTCTAGTTAAAATCGGTGTAATATAATCGATGTAATATTTTCAGAATTCCTTAAAATCGAATGTATTTGATATCAATTTTGCATGGTACAATTGGTGTCTCACAATTTGCAACAGATTCCTTATAAACAATCTAATTCTACCTTATTTAAAGATCTTATCTAAAATCTTATAGAAGACTAAAACATAAACATGGACTTTGTCCTTTCTTTCTTTTTACTCACTTTTAAATTAATTTCTAATTTCGTACAATCATATATTTTCATTAAAAATGAGAAAATAAATTTCCTTTTTTCTAATCCGCCTGTTTCCTAGAACGATTTATACTAATATCAGGCCATATTTCTGAGAAAAGTCGATTGCAAAAGACAATGTTAAAGGCCCTCAATAAATCTCCCAATAATTCCAAAATTTTTCGTAACTAGTAGCGGCTATAAAAAATGCAAAATGCAAAACGGTAGACGGAATTTAGAGTTTAGAGAAATATCGTTTCAACGGCCGAAATGGGGTAGCTATCCCTTATCTAATGCAAGAGTAAACCGTCGCACCCTGTCGGCTGTTATCGTAGTCCGAAGTGGACTTAACCCGCGTGCAGGAAAATGTATGTGTGTGTACACATGCGGCGACCAAGAGGCCACCTCCACCACCTCCGGCATCGTGGCGCGTGCGTATTCGCGAGGCGGCGTCGCGACGGCGCGTTTCTGCCGCACCCGATGCCATGGCGAGGAGACGCGAGGGCGGTGTCGGTGGTGATAGCAGCGAGAGAGGGTTGTTCTCGTCTACTCGCCGTGCGCTCTTCACTATCGTCGTCGCCGTCGTTGCTACTATCATCGACGAGCGGCACTGGAGAGCGCTTTTCTTCCTCGGGACATTCAACCGTGGACCACGACCGCAGTGACAACATCTTGACGCTCGGTTCTGGCACACTCTTCCTGGGGCATCTTACGGATTTCGAATCGCCGTCGAGACCGACGGAAAAGAGAGGAACTCGCACTTCACGTCCACGGCACATCGCTTTTCATCCTTATAAGTACGTGCTCATCGTGACTGCTTCCACTGCTTCCTTCAGTTACGACAACAATCCTCCGGTCTCATTAACAAGGTTATCTTCTCATCCCGTTCTTACCCGTCACTATCGGCGTGGACAGTACACCAGTTCTCATCCCGTTGTTACCCGTCACCGTCGGCGTGGACAGTACACCAGTACCAAGTGGTGCTAGTACCCGTACTCGTCGTCCTCTCTCATCTGCCGCTGTCCATCTGTTTATTGACCGGCGCATTAGGGGTGAGTACATCAGACTTAACCCTTTTGTCGCGTTTAATATTTTGATCATCATCTCACGTCGTTCTTCGTATGAAAATGTAAAGCGACGCAAGAAAAGTGCGCACGTCTCGGAACAAGCTTTGACGACTGAACTTGTACAATGTCGATTTGTGTCTTACTGAGAGTTGTTACGAGTAACCTAGTTGGCACTTTTCGTGTTTATGTCGACCTCTTTCCTCTCTCCCTCTCTCACAACAGTCTCGTCCTCGCTTTCAACCCTATCTCTTTTTCTCTCTTTACTGTATTGATATTAATATCGTTCCCGCAGATATACAATTAAAATTAATTTATTTAAAATGTAATACTTTATTCAAAAATCTACACAACATTATTCATATGTATCACAAGAGCGTTTTTCCCAATTATATGTTTACGCTGCAAAAATAATAAGTATGTTTGGATAATATATAAAAAGTAGAGGAGACCGGGGCTAAGTGGGCATCCTTTTTTCAATTGCAATTTTCAGTAACAAAGTAAACGATTTTAGTCAAATGATTTTATTAGCGTTTTTATAGAGTGATTATAAGACTACAAGATGGCAATAAAAAGTTTTCGTATTTACAATTTCATTTCATTCATATACACAAAAAATGATGTGATTCGGAAAATGAAATCTCAAAAATTACTTTTGACTATCGAAAACACGTTTGACTACTTAAACATAACAACGCACCTAAACTAACCAAACTTCGTTGGTAAAGAAGACACACGAGATGCTATCTACAATATAAATTGGGAACTCATAAGATATATTTTGCCACTCAAAATTCAAATGCCAGCTTAGCCCCCTATATATAATTATATATAGAATATCATATAATCTGACACAATTTTATCTTTCTGTGAACAAAAAAAAACTATAAATTATAAAAATTATTTTTCAAATAAATTACGATAATAGAACTATTTGAGCCTGGCTAGTTAATGTGCTCCAATTTGTATATTACCAAATTTACAATTACAGAATACAATCTATTAACCCTAATGTATAAATGAATCATTTAACAGAGAAACCCCTTAGCTCCTAAACCACGTATAATGGACTATCTTATTGTGTCATTAAGTACTGCAATCACAATCGTTGTGTTGTCATAATTATAAAGTATAAGTATCATTTAATAGAAAATATTATAATCTAAATTACCTAAAATTCCTCCGTTATACGATTAATTCATCAGCTTAAAATTAAGTAACCTTCCTCACTGTCAGTTCGATACACAGTAATATAATCATTACGTGTAGTCTATTCGGTTCGTTGTTGGTAACGCTAAAATAATCAAGTGGGGGACAAATCTTCCAGGATGGGAAGACAAGCGTCCAGTAAAAGTTCGGTATCGCTCTGTCTATTTAATCCTAACGTCTGTTTTTTAATATGTGTCATTTCTGATACAGATCTTTTCACATAAGAGGACTCGTCCAAAATTTTCACGTTTTCCCAATCGAATTCATAATTCTGGTATAATCTGTGTTCCGAGATCACAGTAGGTAAACCACATTTTTTGTTACTGTCTTTTAATATGCTCATTGACCCTTGTTTTTAATTGTCGCTTTATTTGTCCTACATACGTAGCCTCGCATTCTCGATAGTCAATTCTGTACATCACATCGCATTTATTTATTTTATTAACGTCATCTTTATCCGTCACAATGAATCTATTTAAGTTATAAGGAATTGTAAATGCAGCACTCATGTTCACCTTGTTAGCAGTGGCAGAAAATTTGTTAGTAACTCCTTTTAGGTATGGAATGATAAAAAACGTTTTCATTATTGAATTGCTATTTTTCGTCCGTTTTCTATTATCATTTTTGTTAAAATAGTATTTTAGTCTTTTGTTAATAGTCCTAAAAATAAAACTTATAGGATAACTGTTACGTAACAATATATTAATCATTTCTTCAATGTTTTTTTAAGTGAAAACGCGGATGAACTACTGATATTAATTTATCTACCATTCCGATAATTACTCCTTTTTTATGAGATAATGGGTGATGAGAATATAATTTAGATATCTATCACATGACGTATTCTTTTTAAATAAATCAAATATAATATTATCATCCTCCCTAATTAATTTTACATCTAGAAAATTAATTTGGTGGTCCTCTTCTATCTCCAGTTTAAAAGCCAAGGTTTCTCTGTTAAATGATTCATTTATACAAGAATCCATATCGTACTTATACGGCATTTTCGGACATTGAGTAACAAGAACCGCAGGATATCACAAAGATGGGATGCGGATTACTAAATTGACCAATAGAATATAATTAGGGACATTAGCATGTAATGTTATAATGTATGTATTTGTAATTGTATAGAATATTTAAATTGTTCACTAAAGAGGACCATATTGAGGGTCGAAACGTATGATTTTAATACATTGTATTCTGTAAATTTGGTAATATATGAATTGGCGCACATTAACTAGTCAGGCTCAAAAAAATAGCTCTGTTATCGTTAATTTATTTGAATTATATTCAATAGAGCCAGTAAATACATTAATTTAGAAAATTATTTTTCTCGTCATTCTTTTTAATTATCTTATTTTTTTCTGTTATATATTTATATATGAACAGAAATTATACAAGAGAAAGAAAATGCGTCTTCCATATGACGCCCCTCATTATTTCTCCTAATATCATTTATTCCCAAAGACATTCAACTATTGCCCAGCTTAAATCGTATTTGAAACTAGTGCTAATTTGGCGCTATATAATGATGAATAGTGATAGAAATTGACACTATATAGTTTTAAATTTAACCATTGCTTTAGTATAAAATAATGATATATTGAGCAGGAGCAATGGAGATTGGTGTAGCTTCAATCCAATTTACGTGCGCGCGATTTTGTTTAAAAATCGGAAACACGTACTGCGGCAAGCGTTAGATCGGGTGGCATGCAAAGCTCTCACGTTCGCGAAAATCCTTGAGGGAGGAAGCGAGAGTACAGAACGCTTTATACGAACGTCGTTCTTTCAGACGTTTCTCGCGTGCTCAGGGATTACGACACGAAATTCGAACGGAACTAATTTGCCCCAACTTAGGAGTATCCGCAGTGGTGGGTGTCTTCGAATTTTCAAAGCTCCTCCGTCGTATTACAGTGACGTAATTGACGCTTGCAGGTATACTCCTTCGCATCACGAACAAATTTACGATACCTTTCAACCTTTACTATCGACAACGTCGATCTCGATTACGCCGATGAATTTCGGATATCTTATTTTCCCTTTTTCCTTTCTTTTTCTTCCTTCCCCAATCTTAATTTAAACGCAAAGCAAATCCCGAAGCTGAAACGTGAAACAGGATAAATCACGTTAAAGTTTCATATTTCTACAGATGATTATTAATGTTTAACATCGCCCAATTTGCACTCTTCATTTTTCTATGACGCAAATTACAAATAACATCATCTCGTAAACGTCGTACAGAGAAGAGCCAGCTTGTTTTACGTTTAAATTAAAAACAAACTGTGCATTATTTTCTGCGCGGGATTTGTGCGGGATTTATAATACGTGTGTTTATCATTTTATTCAACGTCGTTTTACTCGTCTCTTCGCTGCTCATCGCTTCGCTGTGAATTTATTCGCGAGGAAATTGAAGAATTTATTTTTAAACTGCCTCAAATTCATATTTAAAAAATGGAAATCATGGAGTTTTCTGTGAGCCTTTTGTAACGCGTAATATTCACAAAGAATAGAGATTGTGCTTTCTTCATTTTTTAAAAATACAGATTTAAGATGGATCTATTTTCTACGGAAATTATGTATTCCGAAGTTTCTGTTTTATAGCAGATGGTATTCTTCTTCTGATTCAAAAATAAATTCATACTTTCCGCGACGCAAATAGTTTCATACTTTTATATCGCAAGTGGAAATCGTTGCTTTCTATCGCAACATCAGTACTTAAACATTAAATAGCGTAGACCGCAGCTGTACAATTTTTCCAATTTTTGATAAGATTGGATATCGTACGTTACAATCTGAAAGAAGATTATATGTACGTATATATGTATGTGCGATATAAACATATATGTACATATATCCTGTGTATGTATTTTTAATATATATATATATATATATACTTTAATAATATATATATTTACATGTATATAAAATAAAAGCACAAATATTAAAATATTTATGTTAAAATGATTTAAATTAATAAAGAGGTTGCAGCAAGCGAAGATCATTCTTAAAATATTCCCCATCAGTTTAGAATTCCAAAGCGATCGAAGAATCTGGAATTAATAAGGTGGAATGTTTCGGAACTCTGTATATACGATGACGTACTGTTATTCGTGATAAGCCAATTGTGATTTACATGCATAATTCATCAAACGGTACTTTGCTCTTTCAACGGGGACAGCCTTCAGAACTCCTCGGCAAAAGTGAAAAGTGTTCCTTCTTCCATCACCTCTTCTTTCCGTTCCGTCGAAAGATTTTTTTCTCCGGGGGAGAAAGGAAAATAACGGAGAACAAGCCGGCCAAGTAGACAAAGCGTACGACGCGACTCTGCACCAGCCGCTGCATTTGCGGAACTTTTGCAGCGCCATTTTGCCCGACTAAACTTCAACGGGATTTTCATAAAGCCTAACGTAGAACTGAGAACAAGCTGATGATTCGTATAGTAGCGAGGGGAGAGACGACCGCGCATAGAGCAGCGAAATGGAAGAGAAACTTCGCTATCCGCGCCGTGAAAACTCACGGGGTGAGTTATCTCTTTCCTCTCTCTCGGCCTCGTCTCGATCGCGTTACGTTTCCTTCCGCGTATCAAAAAGCCGAAAAATCTTGGCAACTAGCAGTTTACGATCAATAGTAAAAAATAATGGTTAACAGGCGAGGTAAACAATAAATGTTGAATCATGAATTAATTGATCTAATAATCAAATAGCTTCATTAATGATAAAGAAACAAACTTTTCGGTATATAAAATTGGAACTCTTCTCAGTGAAAATATAA